ATATCTATCCTAACCATTTTGAATACACAGATACAAAATGGTCATTCATCTATACCCCCTTTTCTTGTTTAGTTCCATCATTTAAATATTATAGATGTGTGAACTCAGCAAAATATTACTATTGTCATTTTCTAGCATGTGCTTGATGCTATACTCATTACTCTTTGTACTACTTGAATTGTTCCAATCAGTTGTTCTTTCTTTATGCCAAGCCTAAGTTTTCCTGAATGTCATAAATAGTACTATAGGAGAGTGCCGAAGAAGTAGGAGCTAAGCCAAATAGGCAGCAACTTCTCATCCTCTATAAATTGAAGAGGTAGGATCTCACAATGTACTCAAATTCAAAAGTCAGCTATAATTAGAGACATCTCTGAGAAGTAGTCATTACCTAGGATTCTTCTTATTACCATCAATATCGGTCACAAACTACTTTCAAGCATCAATTCTGGAATTAAACTAGAAAAGAAAAAAGGAAATGAAAAGACACAGATGCAAAATGCAAACTCACACTTCCATTTCATGAAAGGAGAACCCAGGAGGGAATGAAGGTGAACAATTCAAAAGCCACTCACCTGGATTCTGAAAGGAAAACAGCAAAAATAACAAAGCAAGTCAATGAGTCTCAAGAAAAACTCAAATAGGAATAATTTCTCACATAACTTCAGAGATGATGACCATAGTTAAAGACATAATTAGTGAGTCTAGAAAAGATACAGATTGAAAACAAAACCCAGGTACTTAGAAAAATGATGGAAACCATGGATATTCAACATAGGAAAAGAATGGAATGAATGAACCAGATTCAAACAGATTGAAAGTTATTGTGAATGTACATGCAATAGAATGAACCAGTGTGGGGACAGAATATCAGATCTAGAAGAAAGGATTGAGGTTAATCATGAAAAGAAAGGTTTCTTAAAAATAGCAGGGAAACACACACAAAGAAATCAAACAGTTGCAAGATATTTCAAAGAAGAACAACATAAAATAAATCTGCCTAAATGAAAAAGCAGAAGACAGTTTAGAAAGCTACATGAAGTGGTGCAAGCCTGTAACCCCAGCATTTGGCAGGCTCACAGAGGAAGATCACTTTGAGTTTGAGGCCAACCTCTGCTATGGAGAGAGTTTAAGGCCAGCCTTAACTGCCTAGTGAAAGCCTATATCAGAAAGACCAAAAATAAGTTCTAGTAATTCAGCACAAGAACAGAATATTAAAATCTTTCAAAGAATATAAATTAATCACATATAAAGAAAACCCATCAGAGGGCCAGAGAGGTAGCTCAGTGGACTAAGTGCCTGTTTAGCCAAGCACAGGGACTGGGCACCACATGCCACACCAGCCCCAACCCCCCTGGCACACTGAGCTGGTCACCGAGACCAGGCATGGTGGTACATGCCTGTAATTGCAGTGCTGGGGAGGCTGAAAACAGGAGAATGGCTATGAACCTGAGCTGCATAGTGGAGACCCTGTAGCAAATACCTAAAATTAAAACAAAAGAAAACCCATCAGAATCATAGCAAACTTAAAAAAAAAAAAAACAAAAAAAAACAAACCCATAGTCAAGTGAGCTTGCAGTGAAGTATTTGAAATCTTAAAAGAAAGCAACCTTTAAAACAAGTTGATTTTGATACACAAGATCACACAAGGTAATTTTGATACATCCCTCAAAATTATCTTTCAAAATCAACAGAGAAATAAGACACTTCCATGAAAAAGAACAACTGAGGAAATGTTTGACGATAGAACCAACAGTAGAAATACATTAATGTTATTTGAGAAAGAGATTAAAAAAAAAAAAAGTACAGCTTAAGCAAGCATTCTGGCTTTTGTATGTCTCTACCCTGACCCGACTCTGATTCTCTCAGCCAGCAGCCCGTTTTCCAGCAGGAGCACTACTCTCTACATAGAACTCAGCTCGGCACTGAGGCTGTCACTGGCAACACAGGAAAGAAGATAAGATAGAACTAGTTTTTTTTTTTTTTTTTTTAATCAGTGTGAGACTTTTGAGTCATTGTGCACAGACAAAAATACGTGCTACATTCATAAAACCAGTTTTAACGTAATTTTGACCAGCTGACAATTTAGGTGGAAGCATGCTGGCAAACATGAAAATAAAATGTGTTGAATTCCAACAAAACACCTGTCAAAGGACTGAACAAACAGACACACAATATAAGAATCAGAGTACACTCAAATATATTTGGTTAGATCAAATTATAATAACTTTTATGGTTTTTAAACTTGTTCCTATAAATAAGCTAGTCAGAACTTTCATAGGTTAATTAATAGAGATCTCTCGTAGTAAGTAATAAGTATCAAAAGGAATAGTGCTACCCTGTGAAAGCAGAAACAAGTTATTAAGACGGGTACTGACAGTTTATCTGATTGTAATATCTAGGCATTGTTGCTTTAATAGTCATAGTTGTTTGATAGTCACAGCTGATGACAAGGTAATTGTCACTGTTTCCAGTGGTAACCAGGCTAGTTTTGGGTGTAGAAAGAAGTCCTCTGTGACAGTAGTGTTGCCAGCCTGCAAGATGTGAGAGAAATCACGAGGAGAGGCAGTCCTCTGGGGACAGCCTTTGTTAAGGGGTGTAAAGTTAACCTTGACCAATGAGAGACAAACGGGAGTGTCAGAGGCTAAAGAGAAAGAGCTCAGACCCTGACTGATCTGGGAGAGGTCGGAGAGGGAGGGAAGACCCAGTGGACCAGGGAGTCACAGTCTGAACCTGGTGTGTGGCAGAGTGGCCAATGGAAATTGGGAGAGTGAAAGGGAATGGGGAGAGTGTAGGACCCAGGGCTAGAGGAGTGGTAGGTGGCTTGAGGTTTGCGGACGGGGCTGGGTGGGTGGGCTGGGTGGGGATCAGTTAGTGGAGGCAGGCAGCCTCTGTGGTGGCTGCAGGGAGGTGGGGTGCAATGCAGGTGGGCTGGGGGCTGCCATAGCTTGGGGCTCTATGGCAGGCACTGCTCTGGGCATGGCCTGTGTTTAGGGTCTTGCTGTGGGTATGGGTAAGGGATTAGGGGTGTCTTGTGCAGGCTTCTGCTAATTATATGTTAGGGAAAAACCAAAGGTCTTGTGTTCTGGTCATCCAGAGGAATTGGAGCTTTAGATTGGAAGAGGGGTGAAGTCTAAGGTTCCGCAGAAGGCAGGCTAGCAGAGGCAGGGGGAGATGACCGGTTTTATTTCTATTTGAGTACAGAGAGAGGTGTGGGGTAAGGAAGGAGAATTTCCCTTTGGGAGCAGAGATAGGTAATTGTCAAACCTAAACTTGACGTAGTAAAACGAGTGGCAACAGGGCCTATATCGAACGCGATCGGTCAGTCACCAAGCAGAGTCGGTCTCCCCGCCGTGTGTCCACCCACGAGGAGCGCTAGGTTTGAGGTACAGAGGGAGAGGCGAGTCCCTTTTCTGTGCCAAGGGATGAGAGCAGACAGGAGAATAGAGAAGCAGGGGGCAGAGGGGAAGGAGGTTTAGCAGAGAGGGGTCAAGTTTCAGAGAGAAAAATCGACAAAGCCAAAAGCGGCGGCTCTGGGAGCTAGAAAGCAGCTGCCTGCCCAAAGGCTGGAGCAGGGCGGGTCTTAAAGGCACAAGCGACTGGAAGACCAGAGAGGGAACCAGCTTACCGGTGACCTGAAGCACTCGTCTTGGCGGGATCTGGGAAGCTGCCTTGACTTATATCGTCTTGAAGGCAGGGTGGTTAGGGAAAAAAGGTAGAGACACACCGAGGCCTTACGCGATCTGAACTGCTGTGTAACATCTGGCATGGCAGCAGCAGCAGCAGCAGCTGTACCGACCAGAGTCTGAGGACGCTGATGGGTGCACTTAGCTGGGGTAGACGTTCACGAGCGCTGAAAACCTTCCAAAGATAGCTTGTCATTCTTCCCTGGCCTTGGCACCAAAGTGTAGCATAAATAACAAGCAAAGACATCCAGGCTTCGGTCAGGTAGCATGACACGGAAGGTATGTGACTGAATTCAGACAGACAGCATGATAAAACCTTCTGTTCTGAACTTAGAGAAGTGTTTCCCTCTCATAGGGATGGAGAAAAGGCAGGGAACTCTAGGGAGAAAAAGCCCTATAAATATCTGGGGTTAGAGTTTTCTAGATGCAATCTTCCATCTTTATGGATTGAGTCCTTTGGAGTGTCTGCGGCAAGTTTCCTGGTGTCGCCAGAGGTCCCCAGAATTTCCAAAGCTGCTTGTTCCATCTTACTCCTTTTCTGTATTCACTGTTGAACGTTTCAGTGCTGAGCTTAGTTCCCTGCAGAGAGCAGTGTTTCTGCGGGCAAGCCGGTTGGGGGCTGGGAGAGTCCGGCCAGGTGGAGACGTACAGCTTTCATATTTGGAAATATATTCATCCTCAAAATTCATGTATTTTATGAAAAAAAGTCTTAAGTTCGAGTTGGAGTTGGAATGTTTGTTTTTATCTTTACTCTTATGTGATATGACTTCAATTTCCTTATTTACACACAAAAATATGTGCTTCTTAGGGGACTTATATTCATTTTCATGTATTAAAAATGAGTGGATTGAGGGATAATATGAAAATTTTGGCAGTGAAACCGACTGCATCATTTCCAACAGAGGGTCTTGCTTCTGGTGAATTTCGTACTAGAGTTAGCTAGACATCAAGGCATTGATTCTTCCATAGGACATTAACTCTGGAACCTTCTGAGCATATTCGTGACTCACTTTCAGGAAGAATCTACTGAGTTCATTAAGAAAATCATGGAAGCTTTGGAAAGTCAGCATTACAGCCTTTAATTGCAAGCGTTCTTTACGCAAGGCGAGAGTCTGGTCATGGAAGAGACTGGACCATAATTTCACGGGCTAGAATGTATCATTTGAGCGCCACCCAAGCAGAAAGAAGTTTGCTGCTCCTGTTGTGCTCAGCGCAGACCTACAGTGGAGCAGGAGCCAATCGGCGATGAAGGCGTGGGCTGTCTCTATTACCCAATCAGATGGGCTGAGGGAGGAGGGCTTTTCCTGTGTCATGGCGCCGAAGTGCACAGCCTGAGTGCACTGCAGAGTCCCCAGCTGACAAGACCACCCTTTTCTGAACTTCTCCTGGCTGCAACCTGCAATCGAAGGATTCTGGGAGACTCTCACGCCACACAATGGTGACGTTGTGGGATGGGTGCGGGGATGGAATCGGGTGAGTTCTGGAACGAAGGGGCCAGGATCAGCTGTGACAATGAATAGTCTCTGCTTCGTTCCAGAATACGAGGTCGTTCTAGTCTTGATTCCGCATCAACATCCGTCCCTCTTCCACTTGATCAGGCAAGGGAAGTTCTGGGTCCCCAGCATCCTGTCCCCACTGAAACACTGACAGCCCAGAATGCCTTCTTGGGTGTCCCCGTGCACTAGTCTGAGGAGAGCTGAAGCTTCGCAGCAACCCTGGGTTGAGTGCTGAGCAACACAAAACAGTAGTCGCTTTTCTTATATACGTGAGACCTCTGCTACCAATGGTGTTACTGCATGAACAGTTCTCCTGCACTCACAACATTGAGAAATGAGGTTGTGAATGAAAAGGAGGCCATTAGGGGGGGCTTACTGGAAATAATACAAAGAGCAACTCCTTGATTTCCAGGAAGCATCCCATGGAGCGGCCCTGCGTCTGCTCAGTCCACCTGGAGGTAACGATAGATAATCAGTGCACAGAAATTGTTCAGTTCCTCGGCGGTGGCTCTCTGTGTAAAATAAGCACTCTGTTCTCATGATCTCTAACCGTTTGCCTCAACATGCGTGGCTTAAAAAAGACTGGACTTTTGGAGAAAACTGAACCTGGTTATTTTGCATTTTAAATTTTTATAAACTCAGGAGCTTAGTAGGGAGTGAGTGCAGCTCCTTTTAGCAGGAAGCTGATTCATCCCTTGTTGGGCAGAAAGTTTACTCTTGCTCGAATATTAGAAGTAATTTTTATCGTCATTTGAATTCTTATAAAAATGTCCTATTTGCTAACTCTTATCTCAGGTCCTTCCCTAAGTACTTTGTTTATATGCTGGGGGGCGGTGGGTGTTAATATGTTACCGAGGAAGGGGAAAGAGTTTCTGTTAAGGGCAACTTCCCTGAGGGCTGGCTGTCAAAAGTACAGAGTGAAACAGATCGATCTGTGGCAAGTACAGCAGCCAATATGTGTGACATTGGTATGACTGGAAAGCGGTTTCATGTGTGAAACAGTTGAAGTGTTCTGTGGACTGTTTCTAGACATGATTTTAAATACTGAAACAATGAATGAAGGGGACATTGGGAAAACAAGAATTGAGCCTGGTGCGGTGGTGCACACCTGTAATCTTTGCACTCAGGAAGCTGAGATAGGAGGATCCTTGTGAGCTCACGTACAGCCTGTGCCGTACAGGGAGTAAAACCCAAGCCTGATTACATAGTGAGTCTGTCACAAAAACAAAAACAAAAATAAACAGTAAAACAAGTTTTGAAGTGGGGTAAATTCCCATAGTTAATGTCTGGAGGCTTATGAATGAATAGGATGAAAGGGGTTTTGGAATAGGAAGGAGGAGTAACGGGAAATGGGACAGTGGGGCACTTTGGAGAGGGACCTACGTCAGCAACTACAGCAATGAACAGCTCCTGACTTCAGAGTTTTCAGTGTCATAATAAATGTAAGATTGTCTGCTGGCTTGGTGTGAGATTGGGTCAGAGGTCGCAGGCTTAAAGAATAGAGGAGAATTTAGGAATGGATAAACATTTCTTTGTGAAGTACTTATCAGCTCACCTTTTTTTTTTTTTTTTTTTTTATTTTAGTAAGAGTCTACCAGGTCTGCAAGGTCTCATTATGTAGATTGGACTCGTAGTGATCTGCCTGTGTTCAGCCTCCCAAGAGCTGGGATTACAGGTGCACACCACCATGCCCATTCTCAATTACCATCTCAGAGCGCCCTGGGGGCCAGGCCAGCCCTGCACTACAGGGATCCAACCCCGGCCACTGCATCTGCCTAACCAGCCGCTTTAATCTGCTGAGCTATTTGGCCAGAACTTCAACTCATCACTTTTGAGGCAAATTGGAAATTAGGAAACTCATCTTGTTGTAGACTTGAAAGGAGAGGCAACATTTTTGAAATAAAATGAGAAGGGGTTTCTCCTGGTTGCAAAAGATTCCAAGGTGTTGTTTTTTATTTATTTATTTTAATCTTTATTGATTTGGTACAAGGTCTTGCTATACAGCTCAGACTTGTAGTGATCCTCCTGTTCCAGCCTCCCTAGCCTTGGTGACCAGCTTAGCGTGCCAGGGTCAGTGCGGATGTGGTTGCCAAGATCCAACCCCGGTGCCCGCACATGCCTAAGCAGGAGCTTAGTCTGCTGAGCTATCTCGCTGGCCCTTAGTTTTATTCTCAATAAATTTTATTTTCAACTTCCTTTGGGTTGATCAAGATATATCTCCTTTGAAACTCATGTAACATCTGTAGACTCTTTCAACTCTTCATATGGTTCTGTGTAGAACATGATGCCAGATTGCTTCCTATTTTTATTTTTTGTTTTTGTATTTGTTTGAGGTAGGGTCTCAGTGGGCAATTTTGGCTACTCTTGATCTCACTGTGTGGCCCGGGTTGGCTGCAAATTCAAGAGATGCTCCTGCCTCTGCCAGGTAAGTATCATGGTTACAAGAGTGTGTCACCATGCCCAGCATATTTCTAGTTTTGAGTGTAATAATAACCAGATTCTTCACAGCAACCAAGTCAGAACAGTATGATACTGGTTGAAAAGGAGAACATTGCTTTAGTATTATTCTTTACTTATGACTTTTCAGAGAGAGAGAGAGAGAGAGAGAGAGAGAGAGAGAGAGAGAGAGAGAGTGTGTGTGTGATTTAAGCTGATTTTTCCTGCTCTGGGCATACAGTTTGACTAACATCATAATGAAGAAAATAGGATGGGACTTTTCAGTGGACAGACTCTGAGTACCATGAATAGCAGACACCAAGCAAGTACAAGGTTGAAGAGAAAACACTTCCATTCTTTGTTTTAATTTATTCATAGTATGGGAACTCTTCTGTTTTAATCTTTTTAAATTTTTAAAAATATTTGTTTATTTATCTGGTACAAGGTCTCACTTTGCAGCTCAGAGTCATAGTGATCTTCCTGTCTTCAGCTCTCCAGCTGTGGTATTACAGGCATGTGCCACCATGCCGAGTTTTGGTGGCCAGACCTATCTCCCTAGCTAAACCGTTTTAATCTTAAATCATAATCTACCTTTCTACACTGGATTACTCACAACTGTAACCTCCCACATCTTGGTTTATCCTTATCTCTTCCCATGATTTAAGGGGCTACAGGCAGGCATGTCCAGCACAATCATTTACAAATGATTGATCTCTCTCTGAAGAAAGAGATGACCTTGAACCTTTGTTTTGTGATCCATAAATTGCAATCACTGAAAGCACTTTATGTGTGTCTTGGATTCTTCACGTAGTGACAACCCACCTTGATTGTTGATATTGTAGGAAAGCCCATGACAATGACCCATTATTGAAGACAGTGTTGAAGTGAAGCCCAGAGCTCTACTTCAAGGCACCTGTCAGCCTGCACTCTACATGTCCCTGTGGGTATCATTACGCAGCATCAAACTGAGAACGCATTCTCTTTTCACACTCATGATATCTGAAATGTAATACAGGTAGTGAAGACAGTGAGGGGCGTATGCAAGTTCAGAGAGTAAGTGCTTTAGGGAGAGCCACTGAGCTTGAGTTTGGGGTGCAGAGCCACAGGTATGCCATGTTCTGTGGCTTTTGTTTCCCCATTCTGAGAACCTTTGCATTCTTATTTGTCCCCTGCACCTGCTAAGTCACTGGTTTTGGTAATTGTGCGCATCAGAAAACATGAATGTGTTTCAGAATTTTTGTTGCGATAATATAGCATGAGCAAGATTTAGAGTAGCTCACAGTTTGAGTCAAGGATGTTGATCAATATCACACAGCACACAGGATTATCCTTCATAGAAAGAAATATTGTCCCAGAAAATACTAGTGACCTCCTTGACTATATTGTTGCTGTTTAGTATCCCTTCCACTCTTGTGTCCTTGCTCATCACTGGTGAATTATACCATGTGGCTTTATGTACACTTTTTATGCTGGCAATAAAGCCCAAAGACCGATAGGCACTCTACATGTGTTCTAACACTGAGCTATACCTCAGCATTGTGTATCTGTATGTTTTAGTGTTAGCAAATGGGTGTGGGCTAAAGCATTTATCCTGTGTATTACTTAATTCACTCAGTTTTTTTTTTTTTTTTCGGAACCGGGGATTGAACTCAGGCCCTTGTGTTTGCCAGGGAAGCGCTTATTCCACTGAGCCATCTCCCCAGCCAAGTCACCCAGTATTATATTGCAGTCTTATTTGTGTTGTTTTATATGTACAAGTTAAGTCCTTAAAACATCTCCAATGTTTGTGTCCATAACATCTTTTTTAATTTTCCATAATATCTAATTTGCCTTTATACAATATGAGATAGCAGGCTGGTCTAGTTCACGGGTATAAATGCCACAATGAACATTATATTTCTTCTTGCCCAAAAGCACATGTGAGAAAATCTAATGGATATTCAGGAGCCTATTTGCTGTTTCACAGAGTGTATATCCATCTAAAGTGTTAATGTACCCCATAAACGTGACCACAAGTACACAGTGGTACTTATTTCTCATATCTAACCAACACTTGACTTTCTGTAGTTGAGTGTCATAGTGGTGTAGTGAGTATTGGTTCCTTTTATTTTTTGAGTTTTATGCATCCGTGTGATGCATAGCTTTTTCCTTTCCTCTGTAAGCCATTCTATAAATGTTATATTATCTGCATATGTTATATTGTCATATTTCAGATGACTATACTTTTGTTTTATAAAATCTTTTTTTCCTCAATATTTCCTTGTTACATGTGAAGAATCAACATCATTCTCATATTTTCCATCTGCATTTAAATCTATCTTATTCACTTTACAGAAATTCTAACTTAATTTAGTCTCTTTTCAAAGTCACTTTAATATATATTTATTTTTTTATTTTATTTTATTTTTTATATTTCTTTAAAATTTTATTTTTGAATATTTTCTTATCTAGATTTTCTTATACTGTTTCCATATTTTATTTATTTCACTCTCCTATTTTTTATTTT